CCCCCCCCCAACCCCAAAACACCAAACCAAAACCACCAACACATCATAGCAATCGGGTTTTATATAATTCCTTAATTGTTAGATCATGCTCAGGGCTTTATGACTTTACCTGATTCCAGTCTAAGTGATTTTTCCAGTTCAGGTGACTTCCAGTGTTTGCAAGTGAGGGTCATGGGATCGAAACAGCTACATTTTTTGTTGTAGCTATAGTCTGTGCAAATACTGAGTATCATGTTCCTCCCACAGTCATAGTCCATTACCATGTCATACAAAAATGTTAAATGGTTAGCAAAGTGTATGTTACAATCACCGTGCAGAACAACGGAATTGTTTTCCTGCAGTATTTTTATAGCTTTCGTTAGAGTTGTGTTTCAGTTCAGATTCTGGATTGTTGACAGGTGTGGAAGAGAGAAAAATTTGTAAATTAAAGTGCTCACACATCGGTCATATACAATTTAACTCATTTGGGAACGTTGTTTGTGCTAAGCCCCTCCAAAGCAACAATGGTCGGATAATAGAGGAAGTGCTTTAGTGATCAAGTAGGTGGTGTTCATAGGTATGCTAAGGCTTTGTGTTTGTTTTTGAGAATACAGTCTTGCAATTAAATCTATTATTAATTCAGAAAATTATCATAGTAAGATATTGGCTGTAAACTTTTAAATATTGTTTTCTTTCCTCCTAGGACTTCATGTTTTCCCCACATTTGTAATATATGAACTCACAGTCTTACTATTCCTTACGTTCTCTGTGGTCATAATGAAGGTATTTTCTTTTTCTCTTTTTTTTTTTTTTTTAATTTTTAAATAGTCTAAATAATCCTTGAGCTTGCATGCCCTAATGAAAATTCTGTGCAAGAACTGAACATCTGATATAATAGAGAATATTACATCTTTACTGTAAATCTGAATTTGGAGGAATCTTACTGAGTATAATACAGTTTGAGACAACATTCTTAGGATATTAAAAAGATTTTATTTAATGTTAAAAGTAAGTTACATGTGGAGAATTGTCTATTTGTCTAGCTTGAAATTTGCAAGTGTTTTTCTTAGAGTAAATAAGATACTATTTTTTACTGTATAGTATTTATATACATATACTGTATACTATTTATACTGTACAGTATACATTTGTCTTTTTTTGACATTAATACAGAAGACATATTAGAAGTCTGCAAGTTTGTTTTATGTCCATAATTATTGCATTTGATGCTGTGTACCTTACAAATACTGTACTATTCGATCTATTGCACTTTTATTTAAAACTAAAACACAAAACAGCCCCCCCAAAAAACCCAAAATGTTTTTAAAGTTTGTCTTGGCAGTGCTTGTGCTTTCTCTGATTCTTCCAAAGACCAGCCAGTATATCAAGTGGATTGTCTCAGCAGGACTGGCACAAGTCAGTGAATTCTCTTTTGTTCTGGGAAGTAGAGCACGAAGAGCAGGGATCATCTCTCGAGAGGTAAGCTGTTCTATAGTTATTAACTTCATTTTTTTGTACCTGGATAACTTACACTGCAATACAATACCCCAGTATTTGAAATACCAATACATGCCAGTTTTGTGGCATCTCTCAACTGTTAACAAGCCCAAATGGAGACATGTATGTCCCTGACAGTGTTCTTAGTTCCGTTTTTTACTTGTTTCATATTGTACTTTAGTATTTTAAGTAGCAGGTTTTACTTTTAAATAGCTTAATTATAAATGCTTTGCCTTAACTACTCTCACAACTTTATAAACTGAGCAGTGAGTTGTAGGTAGCACCCAGGTCACTAAGACTGAGAAGCTCTTGCTCTTAAAATCATGATATAGCTATAGAAAGAGGTAACTGGGAGGACAGGATTTGACTAAGGAAATATCAGTAAGTAAGAACCAGAGAGCAGATATGGTGAAGTGGGAATTGCCTTAATATTTAAACAAGCAAACAAACTTGTAATCTTCACCTGCAAAGCTTGTTAATTTTAAATCCTCTGCAGAAGAAACAACCAGCTTTTTCAGTAGTCATAGAAAAAATCCCCTAGGAAAGAAACCTTAAATTTAGTTTTGTACTGAAGCGGTGAGAATGCTGTTTTTTTTCAAGATGAAGTCTGTTTTGTGAGATTAAGTAAACTATGGCTATAGAAATAGCTATACAACAACTGATGTCACTTTCTGGTGCGAGCTGCTTTCCCCTCTGTATCTTTGCCTACAAAAATACCATGCTGGCACTCCGAGCTTTCCTGTTCTCACTCTGAGCAAGTGGGCTGTATAATGCTGGAACCAATTCCAAATAAAGCATGTGTGAAAAACTTACACAAGGCTGTTCGCTTGTATAGGTAAAGATGATTCATTTTCATGTTCACTCCTGCATATAATTAGGACTTATAAATATTGTGTGTTTGTATAGAGTTTCAAGATACCCATACAGAACCAGTTTAGGGGCCCACCCACTGTGCTTGGAGGCCTTTAGGCTTTCATTTTTTTCTGTGGCAGCTCTCACGTGTTTGTCTACTGTATAGGTTTATAAAGCTCTGAAATTTCAAAAACTCATTCTTCTGTTTGAGATCTCAAAACTACTTCCTGCTGCCATTTTATAAGACTCTTTCAGAACATGTGGTTAAGATCTGATTTCAGAAGATGTGCAGTACAACTTAAAGGGATTTTTGTTGGCTTTTTTTAGTGTATAAAATAGCAGTGCACTTTGCCACTATATCATTAAGCCAGACTAGTTTGGGGTTTTTATTGTAATAAAGTGGTATTTGGCCTTTGACTTTTTAGAAAACCTTGAGCTTTTAAAACTGACCTGTTAACTATACATGTAAATAATTGTTTTTCTATAAGCTCATAATGTTGTTTTTGCACTTGTATCTTCAAACCAGGTAAACAGATAATTAGATGATTTGTGCATGCACTTGTTTGCTTTTGTAACAATATAGTTACAAAATAAGTTGATTAAGAAGACAGGTGAAGTTTCCTGAAAATATTGTCCAGAAAAGTCTGCTCTCCTCAAATTTCTAGTCACTTCTTAGTTTACCGTATAACTAAAAGAAGTAATGGCTTTTATTTCCAATTTTCAGGTCTATCTTCTTATTCTGAGTGTGACTACTCTAAGCCTTTTACTTGCCCCTGCCCTGTGGAGAGCTGCTATTATGAAATGTGTTCCGAGACCTGAAAGACGCTCAAGTACTTGATTAAGACTTGGACGTGTACAAGAATGCATCTCCTTGCAAGGAATATCTTCGTTGCTCATTGTATTTCTATGCACTCAGAAAACAAGAGGTTTTGAGTAGTTAGTCCTCTTAATGTGCACTTGGTTATAAGCCTTATACTGACCTTGAAACAATACAAAATTCAACATTAAAAAATAGTTATGTAATTTGTATTGCACACCCTTTACAAAATTTACTTTCTCTCTGATGGATTAGAATCTGCCAGATTGTTCCTGATCCAATCAAATATTCGGAGCATAAATTATTCTTTTTAAAATACAGCATCATGGAAACTGTGTTATTTTTTGCATATAATGTGCCTTTTAATTTTCATCCTACTTTGTTACTGCTGGTTCATCACCAGATTTTGTTCAAAAAGAAAAAAAATAGATATATTATGGTGCCTATGGTATCTTCTTTCACTAAATGACTTGAGTCATTTTCACATTTAGGAGTTTAATATACTAGTATAAAATTAATCACAAAACACATTTCTAACAGTGAATAAAGTGTAGTCCTCTACACAAAGAAAACGTTTAACTTTTTGGCATCAAACTGTTTTAAGCAGTCAAACACATATTCCAAATGACGCAGCCAATATTGTATGATATTTTATTCCAAATTACAGCATATAATGTATTTTCTTATAGGGGTACCTTTTATTTGTGTTAGTTCTTGTATTTATTTACATATTTGACTAAAAGTTGATAGTAAGGAAAGGGCATAACTGAAGTTATATTTGAAGACTGACAGTTGTCACCTGTTCTTGTTGCTAACTGCTGTTACAGTTATTGTTTACAGGTTTTTTTTTTCTTTGTTTTCAATCAAAAATAAATCTGGTGAAACTGGGAAGTCCGCATATGCGGAAGACATCAGTTCTGTAACTTTGGTGGTTGGATGTTACTGACACTATGCTAGATTTGAAATTACTTTAAGTAAATTAATTTGCACAAAACAAGAAATGGCAGGCTGGATGTGTACTTGGAGCTCCATGACTTTATACTTTGCATTTACACTGAATAAATTGTTAGTCTCTTTTAAATATCATGACACTTTAAAAAACAGTTGTTTGAATGTGATCTTAAATGTACATGTTTTGTTCTTTAAAACATTTTATGTAGCAGGATAAGCCTTGTAGAAGCCCATTCTTCAAGTGTCATAGAGAAAGCTTACTCATAGACTGTAGTCCACTCTGACAAACAATTTAAAAATCATCTTGAGGTTTATCTGCTAAAAACAATACTATTAAAGATATACTAACACTTTAGGTCAGTATTATACTATCATCTGAAATAACTTTGATACCCACAAAATGGTTAGAAAAATGCATGTTACATAGGCTTAAGTTGCCAATTAAAATGAAAGCTGTCCTCCAAGTAGCAAAAGAAAGCTTTGGATGGATTTGTGTGCTTTATACCTCTTTCCTCTACCATAGTAGCCTCAGTTTCCTCCTGTGTTTTCTCTGACACGTGCTGGGCTGTCAAAGTGAAGCTTGGACTAGTCTGGAGTGTGTACGTACTGTTAGGATAGGGTAGGGTTCATCATATTTTGAGTTCTTGCCCACTGGATTCGGGGCTTTCTCTCAAGCATGGATGCTTCACTAAAGTTGCAGGAAAGCTCTCCTTGAATGGTTTCAAAAGTTACTGACGAACAGTGACAAATACAGAGGAAAAAGCTGCCCTATAAATAAAACTGTATGATTATAAAATGAGTCTCTAACAGAAAAGAAATTTGAAACCAATTTGTTGGTGTACTTAAATATTTTGCATTCAAAATATAGAATTAATTCAGAAGTTTTATGGTACGTTTTAACAATCTACTAGCTCAAACCTTTTACTCTTTTTCAGGTGCCTCACTAAAATAATTTAACTTTGTCTCTTAGCTGTACTAGGGAAA